TTAGTTAGTATTTTAGTTATTTGTTAGGTTAGTTTTAGTTAACTAGTTAGGTTGGTGGTTGTTTATTTCTTTACGTTTACTTACGTTACTTAAGTTATAATTACTACACACACACACACACACACACACACACACACACACACACACACACACACACACACACACACACACATTTATATACATACATACATACATACATATTATGCATCCATGTTCCTTTTCCACTGTTCTCTTTTTGTTGCTTGTATAAATATACATACATACATATTATGCATCCATGTTCCTTTTCCACTGTTTTCTTTTTGTTGCTTTCAAGATTAGCATATAAGTATCTTGAGAGAATGAGTTGTGATTCACAGGTGGTTGGGTAATGTATTTATTGTAAGTAACTATTTTTTCTTTTGTGCACAGTGGCATATAAATGACATTTTAATACTTGAAATATGCAATCTTAAAAGACCACTTTGGAAGCTCTGTACTGTCAGTTATGGTTTGTGTTTTAGTGGAACACTCATGAAGAAGCTGTAAAACAAAACATTGAGTGTCCAATTAAAGAAAAATAACAAAATTTGGTGTTTTAAGATTGTTTATTTCTAGTATTAAACTAAGTAACTGTTGTAATAAGAGTAGCATGCTAACCTGTTCATGCATATAACATTGGTACTGTACGTTAATGTAAGATAACCTTGCAAATTTAGATATATGAAAGTATAAGTTCTGTTTCTTAAGTTTTATTTGTGCATCACTATTTTGCACCATCATCACATCCACATTGGCAATTTTTATATCTGTCATGAATCTTGAGTTTTTGGCTGATATATCTTGCAGTAAAATATTTGCGGGAAGTGACTCCATATTTCCGGAAGACCATGGTGCTATCAGAAATAGGCTGGGACTTTCAGCATGGTGGGTTTCTCTCAAGAGACATTTTAAGAGAGCAGGACAAACTTTCAAGGTCAGATACTCGGTGTGTTCCACTGCTTTTGTGTTACCTTGTGAGGAATCTTACAATCCAAGATCCAGAAAACAGAACCTTTGAGCTGCATTCTCCAGACAGACGAAATTCATGTATTTTACGATGTTCTGATAGTGTTCAGTGCTCAGCCTGGTTTAATGCCATCCATACAGTGATTTATAATCTCATGAGTAAGGCAGTGGTGGAAGCCAATCATTTATTAGTTGATGTCTTAGAGAAAGCAGAACTCAAGTATATGGGTTGGCTTAGTGAAAAGGTATGTCTAATGTTTGTTATCAATGCATCATTTTCTTTTCATCATTTTTATGATTGAGAATAAATTCAAACTATTATGAACTGCAGCAGATTTTTCAGTTATTCACCATTATGTCAACTTTACTATAATTAAATATAATAATGAGTCCATGCTTCTGTTAAAGCTTCTTCCTCTTTCATTATAATTAAACTTTAAGTTTCTGTTATACTAAGAGTAGCATGCTAACCTGTTCATGCATATAATGTTGATACCATATATTGATGTAAGATAACCTTGCAAATTTAGATATATGAAAGTATAAGTTCTGTTTCTTAAGTTTTGTTTGTGTATCACACTTTTGCATCATCATCACATCCACATTGGTAATTTTTATATCTGTCACGAATCTTGGCAATATGACTAGGCTGTATTCAAAAATAAAGGATGTTTATTGGATACTCAATTGCCAAGCAGTTGTGGGCATTTGATCTTTGTTACTTACATTAATGCTCTTGATAGGAACATAATTAATGAGTTAGTAATGTTTGCTGATGACATTATTTTTTAGCTATGATGATGATGTTGAAGTATTACAGAATAACTTGGATCAGTTGGCAAGTTGGACAAATATTTGTCAAATGATTTTTGGTAATGGTAGGTACAAGATACTGCATTTAGGTTTATCATCATATAGTATGCATGTTCAGTATAGATGGGGAAACATTTCAATAGAGTGATTAAAGAAAAGGGTCTTGGCATAGTGGTGGATAAGTTATTCAAACTATTGAAGCAGTATTCTGTTTTTAGTAGTAAAGCTAACAGAATTCTAGAGTTGATCTTATTGAAGCTTACTGTACTATCCGAGAGATCTATAGTATAAAGGTGTCTGATTTCTTCTGTATTCTGAAGATAGTAGGATGAGAGGATACAAGTTTAAAACAGGTTAGGCTCCAGGTAATAGAGCTATATTTTTCTAAGAGGGTAATTGACTTATGAAATACATTGTTGTCAGCATTAGGGGAGGTTAGGTCTTTACAGGAGTTAAAGAGTGGAATCAGTGATTTCCTGAAAAGTAAAGGGTGGGTATAAATTTTCAATTTTTCCAAGAATGGGTTTGTAAGGACAGTCTTGAAGAATCCAGTGCTCCTTGTTGCCCATAGGTTATGGTGTGTTATGTTATATAGAATAGACAACAACTGTGCTACCAGGTTATTTCTTAGGATTCTTAAAAATTAGAATTGTTGTCTGTAAATCTTCATGGTGCTTTTTTTTTTTCCTTTAATTTATACAGCACAGTATCTGTGGCAATAAAAATGTTATTCTGATGAAATACGTTGATGACTGACAGATATGAATCATATGTGGCAATTTTTTAAGTGTTTTTTTTTTCTGGTGAGCAGAATTTATCATGGGATTACTTGCACCATGAGTGAGTGCTCTACCATATGAGCTAGTGGGATAAAAGCTAGTAAGCCTTTTTGTTTAATTACAAAAACTTTCACATCCTTCACCCTATTACAGACAAAGTCCATTCTTGGGCCTTATCTCAAGCATTACGTTGGGTACCAGTTTTTCTGAAATGACTGCACAGGACAAGTGAGAGTAATGAAATAATACATTTTAGAAAAATTACCTGAATATTTCTGAATTGATATGTTCTACAGTATTTATAGAAGAGTAAAGTAAGATGATATTAATATAATTACACCAGTATTTAATTTGTGCCAGCCCTGTTTATATATAAGTTTGAGTATGTTATATTCAAATGATTTTAAATGTGCAAAGCAGCAAGCCATATGATAACCACAGCCAGTATAAAGTTGCAGTGGAATGGCATGTATTGGAACTACATAACGTCATTGTTTGGCATTTTGTAGGTAGTATAATAGTGCTTAAGGTTGGTTGCTTTTGGGAAGAGTATGTAAGAGACCTTTCTGACATAAAATATTTATACATTCAGATCATAAAGATGTGTTCAGATCAGAAATATCTTTTTTTACTTCACCAAATGTGCACAGGATTGGTCTATTAGATTGACATGGTAAGTCAATATGCAGGGCTTGATTTTAAGGAAATTTCCTGGTTGTCCAAAAAAATGCATAGACCCTCAAAAAGATCCAGTTACAACAATATTGATGTACAAAGACCCTAAAAACTAAATTATAAGAATTTTGATGTTTTTATATTAATTTCCAAAAAGTACAATTAATGTTTAGTTGGCCATTTTGCATCTTTACTCAACTAATTTTTGATGCCTTATTTCCAGTGAAGTTTCATTACATTGGAAAATATAAGCCCAAACCGTGCTAATGTTACATAGTATGTTAAGGAAACAAACAGTCAATGACCTGAAAAACTTTTAAATAGAACAGTGATCTTGGCCAATCAGTTTAGTGTTTCTATTATAACTAGCTTGACCTACCCGCCAAGTACAGTAAAGTACAGCCTGTAGTAAGACCAGACTTGCATCGGAACTCTCACACATAATGCATGTAATATGTACACAATGCCTAAGCATTGCACATGTGTACACACACACACACACACACACACACTGCTGATATGTATTGTTCATACTCATAGTTTGTATTGATCTGAAGAGGGGCCAAGCTAGCCTTATTTATTGTTATTCTGTTTTGTACTGATCAAAACTTTCATAAAATTTTGTTAGCAGTTATCATTATTATGCACTGTTTAATTCGTGGATTTTCCCACTCTTCTCATTGTAGCCAGGTCTTCTGTATTTCCTAGACTAGATTCATCATGTCTGTCTAATATTAGCATTAGGTCTATAAGTGCATAATCAAAAGGGGGTCAGTGTTACAACTGTGACAATTAACAATGAAAATTCTGAGTTTGATTTTATAAATTTGATCATTTTAGTTCCTACAATAGATTTATTGGTAAGAATTTGAGACAACCATATTAGTTTTATTGTCATAAACATCTATACTAGAAATTAACCTCACTAAATATTCCTGTTATCGGTGTTAGTTTTCTGTGCAAATTCCCACCCGCCCATATATTTGCATACAAACATCGTGCAATATCATATGTGGTAACATAACCAACTAAGTGTATACACTTTACTGTGTTACTATATATAGCCATTCATTCTCAGTTGAACTCCATACAAAATTATGTAAATAAAGCAGCAAGGAGGTGCAGCTTTTCCACAATAGAAAGTTTAGTAACTAAAAGAGCATTATGAGCTAATCACAAAAGCAAGCTTTTCCTAACGTTTTTAGCCCCTTTTGGGGGATTGTATCAATATTTCTCTTGCACAAAGTACCATCTTTTTTAAACAAAATAAAAATTGACCAAAAGACATTTTTGTGGGGGTTTAAAGATTTGAGTTCATAGTTGGGGAATTTACCAATAATTTTGGTTGAGGATCAGTCAACATTACATGTGTAGTGTGGGAATGAATAAGTGTACAGTAGACTGCTGTGCTGTTTTGAGTAAGGTCCTGTTTCATGGCACTAGTTGTTTATTGGACAACATGGGTTTAAGTTGGTCATCCGAGGAAATTTTTAGTCATCTCAGATGACTGTTAAAATCGAGCCCTGATATTTATGTTAATTGATGTCTGTCTGACTCGGACTTTGACAAGCCAGAGTGCAAGTTGGTGTTCATATGAAGAATAAAAAAAAAACTTGTGCATCGTATAGTTTGCATGTTGCATTTCCATAACCTCTAGAACTTCCAAAATGCATATTTCCAGGTTTTTTTAGTGTTCTTGTATATTTTATCTGACATTTACCTTCATGTACCACAAACTGTCACTAAATCAGTAATGTTTAGTAAAATGAATAGTTGGTAACTCTAACATCAGATACATAATACTGTGTTGAATGACACACTGTAAAAGGTCTTGGCATATATATAATTTGACTTAAACCTATGCGCATGGGGTTAATGACATTAGAAAAGAAAGGAACATGTATCATCTTTAAATTAATAAGCGTATGTTAATGACATTTGGTAGATTATGAGTAAACATTACAATGCTTTCATATGCAAAATATAAGATTTTTTTATTAAGTCTTAAGGTTTGTAATGCAATGTTTTTCTCATGCCTTTTTCTTTCTTTTTGCATGTTGGCTATCCAACATGCAAAGTAATTTTTATTTTAAGATTAAAAATACTTTTGTGCAACAGAAAATTTTCAAATTTCATATGAAAAATCTTTATAATGTCCAAATGGTTATCAAAGGTTTCATAAGAAAATACTTTATATTTTATCTGTTATTTTTAGTAACGAATCTTTGTATGGGTTTGGTCAATTTGACCGATCTCGTAACCACATTAAAAAAAAAAAAGGAAATAAATATAAGTTATGCCATTTTCCTTCTTGAATTACTACAAATTATAACATGTTATTTAGACTAAATAGCTTAAATTTCATAACATTATACATTTATTGTTTTTATTATATTGTGTATTCAGCTGTGCTTGGCTAACAATACAGAAGTTACAATGATGTGGTGCATGTGCACTCATGTTACTGTATCCAATAATATAAAACTGACCTTTAGCCTTTACAAAGTTACCTGGCTTGGCTGTGTTTTAGTAGACTAGTATTTTGTAAAATACAATCACATTTCAATTATTATACATTATATATGTATATAGATTATTGCTATTTAGAAATAAGTTCTTAAACTTATTGTTTTTAAAACATAGAATAGTAAATAAAAAAAGTAAAGCAAACAATTATCTCTTTTAGTTAATACCTTTGTACTCAGTTGCTGCTTGACATAGGTTGCTAAGCCTTTTAAAACTTTACACGTGGAGGATATGAAGCAAAATATTTTTAGGTTTTTATATATACAGTTGCATAACTAAAAATTAATAAATTACTATATCAGTACCATAGAATTACACTATAATTTATCAACTATATTTCAGTCTAAATAATATGAAATGTTGAGCAGACTAAAGACACAACCTACCTCCTTGAAATCTTGGTTCGAAAGAAAGAGATGGCATCCAAGCACGTTAAAATGGCTGAGAAAGCC